AGTCTTTAAACAACATTGCAAGATGCATTAATGGAGTATCAGCTCTTCTGTTGACCATTCTTCCTGGGAAGGCTAATATTCTTGAAGGTCTCCATGGCTGGGAACTCAGGCCTACATTGCGTGGACCACGTTTACCACGCTGGATGCATAAGTAAGATTTCCGAATCCTGTGATGATTCTTCTCTTTTAAGCATAGCCTTAACTATGGTAATATGCTAATTTAACTTTGTGATGGCAGTGGGGTCTCTTCTTTCAATCACTTCATTCATGAGCTTTCTGTGGATTCTGATACTTCAAGCTTGGAGTATTCTTCTGGAGAAGATAGTGATGGTGCCCTGCCTGCATCACCATCATCTCAAAGCTCACGCGTCTCTTGGGCCAGCGCTTCTGCAAATTCAGAAAGCCTCTGGACTGGCTGGATTACTTTCATTCTTTGGTGGTTAATATTTCCTTTACGGATCTTGCTATGGGTACCACAGTATTTCCTGCGTTTATTCTTTAAACAAAGTTCAAGAACTCCTACGAGCCCAAGAAGGAACCAACATTCATCTAGACCTCGTATTAGCAAGACTAGCTCAAGCAAAGACCATGATGTTCCCAACCGAGCTACTGATAGAAGACGCGGAGTCATTGAGGTTTGTCGATGCACTAACAAATATTTAATAATCCCTCCGGAAAGCTTCTCACTGCTGTTCAATCATGTTTGTGTGTTTTAAACCTTTTCACACACTCTATCTACTTAACATGCTTTATTTTGCAGGATCTTCATCTTGCTATTGAGATTTGCATAGAAGCGATATTTGACTTTTTTCACAAGGCTACACATCTTCTTCTTTCTCCATCGGAAGCTTTTGCGATAATGTTATCGTGGTTCTTTTCTTCCAATCATAGCCGTAAAGAAAACCGTGATGATGTTTCAGATGATGAAACTGTGCAGACTGCCACTTTAGGAGATACTGATCCAGCGCTTTCAGAAAGGCCCACGCGCTTATACAACTCTATGAACACAGATACTCGAACGTGTCGAGATGTCATAACAGAGCTGGGGTAGGGGCAGCTTAGATCTCTTGTGCTTTTTTTGTTTGTTAATTTTTTCTTTCTCAAGTATTTATTTTCCTAACTTTAATAGGTATCCTTATGAAGCTATTCGTGTTGTTACATCTGATGGATATGTTCTTCTCTTGGAAAGGATACCAAGGTATAACTTTCTTGTGATATAGTACGCTTATTTGTGGATCCTTTCCATTTCCTGTTTTGTTGTCTCTTCCCTAAATATGAGATCCCTGACTGCTTTTCTTGTCTTTGCAGACGAGATGCGAGGAAAGCTGTTTATCTGCAGCATGGGATTTTGGATTCTTCAATGGGGTGAGTTCATGGTCTATTTCTTAGATGACGTGTAAAAGTTGCAAACTATTTAAGCTGAAAGGTTGATGAAGCATTGCTTTCTATATCCACGTAGCATAGAAATCCAGGGCGCCGTTCCATGTTTCTGACTCTAATACAACAGGAAAATTCTTGCATAATTTGTTCTCATCATACTTTGCATGTGTGTTTGGTATGGTTAAGACATAAGAATGGATTTGGGTTTTTTTTTTTGGGTAAGATTAAGAGAAATACTGCTTTATGCTTTATGCTTTGTGTTTTATACTTTTATGTTGCTTAAAGCATCTAACCTTCCTTTTTCGCTTTCTTTCTGAACTTCTTAAAGATTTCTGTTTTGACTTGGAATATCCCATAATCAATTGAAGTTTGGATCCACATGTTCAAACTATATATGTCTGGGCTATGAAATATTATTGATTTTCCTTTTTCTTTTTTGTGCGTTCTTCAGATGGGTATCTAATGGGGTTGTTGGATCTCCGGCTTTTGCTGCGTATGACCAAGGTTCAAGCTTTCACTCTCTTAATTTTCCAATCTTTTATTAATTAACATAAAACCTGCTGGATTCTTACACTCGTTTCCTTCACAGGCTATGATGTTTTCTTGGGGAACTTTCGGGGTTTAGTTTCAAGAGATCATGTGAAAAAGGACATATCCTCGAAAGAGTAAGTTCTTGTTTACTTGCTCTGGCTAGGTTCCTTATGATAGTGGAGATGGAGAAAAGGCTGTTTTGCCTGAGATATATGCTTGCAAGCTAGTGTTAATTGGTGTTGAACAAAATGCAGGTTCTGGCGATACTCCATTAACGAGCACGGTACTGAGGATATCCCAGCGATGATAGAAAAAATCCATGAAATCAAAACTTCAGAATTGAAGCTCTGCCAGCCAAATATCGATGAGGAAATCAACCAGGAGGAGCCTTATAAGCTCTGTGCCGTTTGTCATAGTCTAGGTGGTGCTGCAATTCTGATGTATGTCATCACTCGCAAAATCAAGGAAAAGCCACACCGACTCTCCCGACTGATCCTACTTTCACCTGCTGGATTTCACGAGGATTCCAGCTTAGGTTTCACATTGGTTGAGTACGTATTCCTTTTTGTGAGTCCGGTATTGGCTCGCATCGTGCCTGCCTTCTACATACCGACAAGATTCTTCAGGATGCTTCTGAACAAGTTAGCCCGTGACTTTCACAACTATCCTGCCCTTGGTGGACTGGTCCAAACGCTAATGAGTTATGTAGTTGGTGGAGACAGCTCGAACTGGGTCGGAGTCTTAGGGTTGCCTCACTACAACATGAACGATATGCCAGCTGTCTCCTTCCGTGTTGCGCAACATCTTGCTCAGATCAAACACACGGGTAAATTCAGGATGTTTGATTACGGGAGCAGATCAGCTAACATGGAGGTTTATGGCTCTCCTGAACCGCTTGATCTAGGGGAGTCTTACAGGTTCATCGATGTGCCTGTGGATTTAGTAGCGGGAAAGAAAGACAAGGTGATTCGGCCTTCCATGGTGAGGAAACACTACAAGGTGATGAGAGATGCCGAGGTTGATGTATCGTATAATGAGTTTGAGTATGCTCACCTTGATTTCACATTCTCTCACCGCGAAGAGCTTTTAACATACGTGATGTCACGGCTTCTGCTGGTGGAACTGACACCAATTCAACAGAGGCAGACAAGTCAGAAAGGCATGAAGTTGAAGATGAAGAAAAAGGAGGTACAGTAGTTAAGGGCCGTGCCTACCGAAGACGTAAAGAAACATTCAATTTGTATGTAAAAAGTTGTATGTAAAAGTTAGAAATCAAATTTGAACATATATAATATTATATACCGTCTATGTTAAATTTTTACTCCTGAACTTTGATCTCTAGTTCAATATCTTGAAACTTTTTTTTTTAATAATCGCAACTTAAAGTCTAGTTAGTTAATAAAAAGCTATTACGTATATAATTTTCTTGATTTTTTTATTTTTGTTTCTTGTATATATCTCAACTCATTCGTTCTTTTTTTTTTTTTATCTCCCTACCAAATTCTTATTATTATTTTTGTTTTCCTTGTTTTTTCATTTACACTTATTTTACCAAATTGTCATCTACAAGCTATATTTATTTCATAGATTTTTTTTTGGTTATGTTTTGTACTATTGCATATTTGTATGATATAACAATTTAATACAGAAAAACTATATATTTGTGGCCTAAAGTGGGAGACTTACTAACATGATTAGACAAAGAGAAATGAAGGAACGGCTGACTTCCTACAAACGATTTTGTCCCTTGAAAAATCTCACAAAAGCTATACTTGTTTCTTACACATAGATTCTGTGGAGAGTAAAAACTCTACTTGTTTCTTACACACAGTGGTGAAGACAGCTGTTGGAGAAATATGTTTACTTGTATGTAAAATTGGTAAAATGTTGGAAAATTAGTTCATTGACCCTTCTAAAATTTGCTTAAACCCATAATTTTATAGAGCTTTATTGATATTTAGATAAATATAAAACTCAATCATCTTAACATATTCAAGAATCTATTTAATATTTTATATATTTTTATTTGATATTAAAATTGACCCCAGTGAAAATTGTGACTAGCTCTGTCACTACTTGCAGATAGATTATGTGGAAGAATGCTCAACTCAAAACCAATAATTTTTCAATCCTCCAAAAAGCTTTACAGCCTCGTTCTCAACAAACATAAGTGACTCATAACCAACATAAGGAGTTTTCTTCTATTCATTCGATGCATTTTAGAGATTGTTTTTCTTACAATAAAACTCACAAAAATGAATCTTGAATTTGCTATATTTCAAAATTTCAAATTTACAAACACATAAATATTTGGTTCAGATCTTTCAGAATTAGTTCTAATTCAATAATTTATATAGTAAGTAGAATACGACAACCGATAAAAACATTGTGTTCAAAAGTTGTGCATGAACAATATTTCTTTTTGTTTTTAACCTTTTTAAATTTCAGATTTGACTTTGTTTTCAACAAATAATATTTGACTAAGGCCTTAAAAGTCATTGGTGCACAGTAGCGTAAATAGCTAAAAGCAAACTATGGCATGGTGTTTTTTTTTTGTGATGTTGTGTGTTTGAGCTTTAGTTGTGTTTTTGAGCTGTTTTGTTGTTGATCTCATATGCATTGGCTTATTAGTATATATATATATATATAAAGTTTGATCTCTTGATGAAATGATATTTTTTTCAGGGATTTTTCAACAAAATGATATGTCTATTTATATTGACTAAGGTATCCTCAGAACTATTTGATGTTTTTTTTGGTCGAAGAACTATTTGATGTTATTAATTGGAACGGATGTTATGAATTGATGAGACCAAACAACACCTGTTACATTGGCAGATCTAATTGACTGAATGGCTATGTAATGATTCAGTTGCTTAGAAATAAAAATAAAAAGAGAGACACTTCCCATATGTTAGGGGCACTTGATTAAGCAACACATTTCATTCATTTGTCGTGAATAAATCACAGCTACATGTTTTACGGATCAGAGAACGATGATTATATCTGATGATAGAGAAAATAGAGCAGTGATCAGTAAATCTGGTGTTGTGTGATTCTCGTGTTTCATCATTCATGTGACATGTGGATAAAAAACTAATAAACAATTAGAGAAGATGAAGATTATTTTTGGTTGACATAGTTAAAAGAATGAAACAGAGCATAAGAGAAGGAAATCAGAATCCTCATGGAAGCCTAGTGAAAAAAGATAATTCATTGGAGCTCTGATGGATTTTGAAGAAGTGATGCTCTTTGAGGATTTGAAAGCAGAAGTTCCTGCATGTCACTTGGAAGTACACTGAACACCGCTTGTAAATCCTTCTTCAGTTTCTGAAACGTTGCTTCTGAATCTGCGCCTCCTCCTGATTCCCGCGACTGCAAAAAAATGACTTCGATATGTTATACTACTTCAGGTTCTGCATGACAGAATTCTCGAAGAAACTACCTATACTATGCAGAGCGATATAAAAGCTAAATCTGATATAGAAGTACAAAACAAAAAGATCTTGTTTACGAATTCTCGAATGCTAAGCATGGGAATTTTCCAAACCAGATGATGAAGCTTTCAGACCTAAAGGGAAGATAGTCTTACCTTGACTTCATCACTGATGTACTTCTCAATGGCATTGAAGGAATCCACAGCTTCCAACTCATTCATATGAGACGTAATCTGCCGCATATCAGTCTTCATTCTAGCTAGCTTCCATAATCTACGTTGTTCTTGCTCAGCAACAGCACGCCGTCTTTGGAACCAGGGGTTAAAATTAGGTCCTCGTAGAAACCGCCTGAAACAATGGTTTAGCAAGGTAACCAAATACTGTATGTGACCAGAATGAGACAAGAAATCCAAAGACTGAAACTCAAAATGACTTTGTTAATATATATAAATACCTATACAGATCTGGCCAGTTGGATTTCATGCGTTTAGACAAAAACTTCCCTACACCTCTCGCCGATAAATTCGAAAGGAACTCATCAGCACCGAATGATGGGAGCGCAGGAGGAGTAACATATGGTGAAGATCCATCAGAAGGTGCATTAACCTGGAAATATGGACCAAAAGGGGCCAAGAAATTCGTAGTTAACTCCAAGAAATGCCGTCGCAGAATCTCATTATTCACAACTGACATTGATTCCTCAACCCTCGGTGACATCCCAGCATCAATAAGTCTATTCAAAATCGAAGTGTCTGGCTTAGTTATCGCAGAGTAGGTGGTCCAGACAGCTTCCTTGTGCTCTGTCATGAGACACAGAGGTCCATCTCGTCTAAGTTTTACTGCATTTAGCAAATTTGTAGGAGAGAACCTTCTTAACGAAAGCTGCTGTACGCCTAATCCTTCAGCTTTACCAGATATTCTACCAGCCGACCTACTTGTAAGGGCTACACGGTTTGAGTTTGGAGCAGGGGTTCCAACTGAGACAACATGAGGCATATTGCGAAGAGCTTTGAGGAAAAAGAGGTTTGTGACACCCAAAACCATCGGCGGAAAAGTGTCTCCTTCTCGGAGTGAGTTTAGTCTAGCAAATCCTGGATCATGTATAGTAAAATATGGTCTAAAGTCGACGCTACAAAATAAGGGCGCAACCAAACTCACAAGACAAGCAACTGCCTCTGAACATTGTGGAGGTGTTGGTGCTATGATAAGGATAGGCTCACCTATGAGTAACAATTCCCATAATGTCCATAGCTGCAACAGTAGCCCCCGGTAAATGCCAAAAAGATCTGCATCATGGAAAAGACCCTGAGGAACAGACTGGTTCGTAGGGAGTAAAGGAGCCATGGAAGAAGCAGATTCCTCATATAAAACCCCATTTTCCAATGGAAGGCTATGAGCAGGAGGCAAGTTCACCTTAAGCATAGCATTACCAATTGGCAGCTCCATTAGCTTACCGGGAACAGGAGCAGGCCACATTGAGACATAACCAGCAATATGTTCAATAGCTTTATTTCCAACATCAAAATATAAAGGACCAATGATTTGCAGCAACGGTCTAAAAACACTGGAGTAAGGAGTATGCGATAATATCACCACAGACTTCTGTTCTCCTCCTCTTTTCAACCTCTCGTCATGCCTCTGCCTATTAAATACATAACCATACAAGTACCTAACACCATCTACCTCCTCAGTGTTATTTTTTGGTCTACGAAACCGGAAAAAGAAAATGCAGTCATGTATGCTTGCACGGTTATGATGCTGTGAGACAGAATCCGGAAAGGAGTTGAATGAGACCTCGATTTCCTCTTCTTGTGAGAGACAGCCTGGTGGATAACACTCTTCTAAGAGCTGCCCTTGCTCGAGATCAAACCTCATAATGCAAAATGCGTGAACCCATCTTTTCAAAGACTCAGGATCGGGCTTTATACTAAGCTCAGGCTTCACAGAAAACGACGGAGACCGACTCATTTCAAAGATAACCAAGAAATCCTCCTACCCATCAAACAAAATTTCCATTTACGGGATCTTCATCATCCCCTATACTTCTCAAATAGATAAGATTCATCAAAAAAGCTTAAATTTTTATCTTATTATACTGAAGTCTGTAAAAGAGTTGCCAGGAAATCTGGCTCTCCGATTTGGTAGGTTTGCTTCACGAAACACTTTCTCTGCTTGAAATTGAATCCCAAAGAAATAAATTCGTAAGCTCAGAATGCTAGATCAGATCAAAACCAGCCAATTTAGCAGCTCCAAAGCCTTTAATCGAATCATCACATCGAATAAACAAGAACAGGGACGGTTCTGAGGAGCGTGCAGCAAACTATGGGAGAAATCAGGGGGTTTCTGATAGGAGGAGAAGAAAAAGAAGAAGATACGTTACACGTGAAGATTAGAAATCAAAGTTTGGGTTTTTCATTGAGGCAATTTCGATTCCAAGGAAGGGAATCATCGGAACGGAAAGCTAACTCTGAAATAAATGATGATGATTCATGGAGCATGTTTTAGTGGTTGTATCTCTTACTAAATTGCATAAAAGGTACTCCAACTTTTCATACTTCATTAAAAAGGTATCATAAAAGTTATGACTGCAAATTATATCAATCTGACTATGTCATTCTGTTTAGGCCCATTAATTATCCGTAAAGTTATAGAAATGTACATTCGGTCAAACGTAAAAATGGAAAACGGAGGTGATATTTGTTCACAGACGCAAAAGGTATTTTAAAAGGAAGGATGTGGCAAGACTTTGTTTCTCTATGATGGTGTGCATTCAACATGTTCTGCAAATGCGATTCTCTTTCCCACATTGAGCAAAAGATCAAAAACATCCTCTCTCCAAAATGGGTGATGCGTATTTTAGGTAAGTTAGTACTTGTTAAGATATGAATATATGATGCTTAATAACTTTGAATTGTGAACCATCAGTTGAAGGCATCATGTTGAGTTTTGATGAATAATGTGATCTTTGGTCTTCTGCAAGTAAGATTGATTTTCTTTATTCAAGAAAAGAGAGCAAAGATCAAAACAAGTCCTGACTTTCTCAAGAATTTCTTTCTACACCATCTCAACTATAATGTTTTCTCTAGGACAAGAAACAGATGAAAATAGTCAAACACATCCACTTCCTTAAAGACAACAAAAAAAGCCAACAACTTGTCTACAGAGATTTGCTCTCTCAAAGGCAAAAACTACTCCTTCGCGGAATCCTTATTTGCTTCTTCTCTTGAAGCCTTGTTTTTTGTTCTCAGTAGCAGCAATCGGTATATCATGTAGAGGATCTTCAGGCAAAATGGTGTGGAAAAACTTTTTGGAGGAACCAGCTTGGTTGCAGATTAACTTGAGCATCTTCCTCCCTCTCATCCATTTCAACATTAGCTTCATATGCGTTTTGCTGTTCAATCCACTAACCCCAGCTTCCTGTTGTTGTTATCATCACCAAAATGAAATGACTGAGTGAAACAGTTTCCATCTCTGTATCAATATTATCAAGAACCAATTCAATACCTATAATTCTTAAGCATAACCACACAGCTGAGACAATAAACACACTAAAATGTAAACAAAAATAAGCGACGGCACAAGCAAATAAACCAATACACTCTAATAGTTGAAAGCAGCAATAGATAATCACTAATATGATTGAGATCATGGGAGTGTTGCAATATCTCAGATCAATTTGAGGGATTCATTTCAGATGAATAAGAAACAAAGAAAGAGAGAAGGTAAAAAAGACCTGAGCACGGAGCCAAGTGTTGGGAACGGAAAGAGGGCCATGTTGCTTAAAGAGATTGTAGAGAGAATTGGCAATGAGGTTAGCCTCTGGGATCGGAACCTTTGGGTTTATCTTCCGGACGTTCACAGCTCGTTCTCTCGACATGTATCTCACAAACAAATTGCTACAGCTGCTAATCTCATTCTCAAAAACAGCCGATGATGCTCTACAGAGCTTTCTCAGTCCTCCTCCTCCGCCGCCACCGAACCACATCTCTCTCTCTCTCTCTTCCTCGCCGTCACTCTCTCTCTCCTCTAGCTCGATTTCGTTTGGCCGGAAAATATGTTAGGTCTCTCGCGTTGCCTTTGATATTTTCACAACAAAAGCCTTTTTAGCCCACTGAGCTTTGCTTCCGGCCCAGTCTTATTAAGTTAGCTTTGCTTTTCACTGAAAGTTCTTCCATTTTCTATCGCTTAAAACATTCCAATGTTCCTTTTCTTTACTTTACTCGAGTGTCGAGTCGAATACAAAGAGTGCAAACAGATACATTATACAAACAATGTCTCCCTCAAGGGGTAATAATATCTACATAAACCCTAATCTTAAGACATATATGTGTATATCCTAGCCAATAGACTTCTGCTTGACCTATACTCGATGTTAATTCGCACAAATAAAAAGACTCAGCGAAATGTGAACAAGTTTAGAGAGGGTGACAAAAGGAGTGTGGGACATATATACATACACTTAAAATCTTTGATCGAAGAGGGTCGAGTTTAGATGTTAAACATCATATACGGGGAGCCGCTCTTCGATGGTTATACGGCAAAAGGGACATTTTTTACACTTATCTGAGCAGTAACTGCAAAAAAAAAAAAAAAACATGGCAGCAAAACGCATAAGCAGATATGATCAGAGAGACAGAGACTTCTTTCATATGTTTACTTAAGTTCAGTTTCTTCCTGGGGAAGAAGATATTAATACCTGCAGAGAACACGGTGTCTGCATGGAAGTAGTACTACACTGATTTCTCTTTCGAAACAAACCCTACACAGCACTTTCTCCTGGAACATGAAAGTCCAAAGGGATAAGCAAACTCCGAAAGAGAAACCCTTGTGAAAACTAAATCCCTTTAGAGTGACAACTGACAAGTAATTTTTTAACAATAAAAAAGAATATCAGGAGAAGAAGAGAGCCTTACATTTTGCAGTCTCTCATATTCCTGCTGGCTGAATTTCGTGATTTCTGTTTGTTCACCAAGTGCTGCTTGAAGTCTCCACACCTGACACGGAATTAGATCGAATGCAAAAAATAAGAATAAAAAAAAAAATATAATGAAGAAATAATGAAACCAAAGGAAAAAAAATATACTCGGACAAAAAAAACGAAACAACGACATATTTGCTAGTAAGAGAAAAAGTAGAAAAACCTCCTCAGCAAGATCTTTCTTTGGCATTTTCTTGACTATTTCAGGCGGGTGACCACAGAAGGTATTGTAACTGCACACAAATATTCATGAAATCTTCAGTAGGTTGGATGTAACCATTTTCGTAGGAAGATGTACAAGGTTGAATTTTACACTAACCCAGAGTCTTGATCAAAGTATAGTCGAGCTTGCTCCTCCCGGCTTCCTTCATCAATTGACCACCAACCTAGTAGCCTAAGCACGAAGAGGATCAAGTGTTAACTTTCTGTTTGTTAGTAATTCAGTGGCAGGAATAAAAACATATATTTGGTGGTTAGCCTCCATAATTCTAGACTAGTGAAGTAAAATAAACAAATAAACAAGTTTATCACCTGGATCCATGGTGCAAAAAACCCAAGCAATCATGGGCTCTGGATGAAAATCTAAAATACAATCCTGTATCATCTTCGCTCCACAGCAACAGAACAACCTTCTCTATTGATTTAGAAGCAGCAAATACAATACCAACGCCTTGCAATAGGAAGAGTGGACAAAACAGGACTGGTACAGGTATATACTTAGCACCTTCAGGAGTTCCCTGAAAGTTCAAACCCACACGTTTGGTTAATGGTAATGTCCAAACAAAACAACTGTAGGATAGGGAAAAATGTTGTTTACCTCAAGATGCATGCAAAGCACCACTTGAAATAAAATGAGGGGAACTTTCATAAGATGACCACCAATATCTTGCAGGGCACACGTTCCATCTTGGTCACTATCGTCTTCTGAAAAGCCCACAAGGCCACTGTTCCAATCAACATATCTAGTAGTGGTAGATGATGACCCGGGTTCTCTGACACGTGAGCTTCTATGAATTACTGGATTGGACCATTTTGTACAAACAAGAAAAGCAAAGCACTCTGCAATTCTGCATGCAAAACGTACACATTGATTACCTTCATGAGCAATTCCACCAATAGCATTAGAGAAGAAATACATCTCTAACAGAAAAAGGCAAAGACAATGCATACCCGAAATTAATGAACAAATCCCACCAGCCAAGAGCAGCTACATCACCTGATTTGATTAAAATAAGATAGAATTAAGATAGAATGGAAACACAACAACCCATCCAGGACATAGTTTATATAAGATATGATTTAGATATGTAAATAGATGACAATATCCACATGGTTAGTGAGATAAGTGATGTTAAATAAGATTCTGATAACATGAATCTGTTAGCGACTGCGAACACAAGAGGGAGTTCCAACCAATGGGCATTTAGCATATTAAGAAACGAATAAATATAAATGGTGTTCCAGCAATAAAAAAAACTCATTTTCCGGTGCATCCAAATACATACAAACATTTAGAATGACTCATTTTGCCGGATTTCAAGGTTTTCCTTTTTGGAGAATTAGTCTAATATAAATGGACACTAAACATGAAACGGTCTTGATATATAAATATAATTGTGAATTCCAAGTATAACGCCCATGGTCGTCTTTAGAATAAGATACTTCAAATTTTAGCAACTATTCCAGCGACAGATTACCAGAGAGCTTTAGGAGGGTAAAGATTGTAGCAGCCAGAAAGAACACCATGGAAATCGCAACCCAGAAATGCTGCAGACAGAATTGAAAAAGGCATCAGAAAATTTTATTTTGAATATGCAGCAGCTTCCCACCCACAATCAAAGAATTGGCAGTTATTCCAGCTTGACTTTTTGTAACTTCTCTCAATCCATGACTTGAAAATCAGAGTCCAAAGTTGTGAATTCAGAAAATATGAAAATGATTATATATGACTGATAGCTCACATGTAGAAAATAAATGCAACTTAAGCAAGTAAAGGAAGAGGAGCCCTAGTCTTAAGCTGATGAACCAAGTACTTTTAACAGCAGCTTATGCCTTAAATCAACAAATGTAACATGACTTACAGGAAGTGCTTCCCATATTGCTTCGTCATTTATGCTCTCCTCATCTCCAGGCATCAGTGCCCGACACATTCTGAAGATAAAACGTGAGGTAGTTAGGTCTTAAAACCAAAGAATTAATTGGGTGATATATATCTTATCTCAATACCTGGCATTGTCCACCAGTATGATTACTTCAAACGCCAACAAGGGGAGAAAAACAATCTTCAAACTCACAGCTGGTGGCCAACGAGCTGCATCTCAAATACAATAGCACAAAATTACATTAAACCGGGAGGAAATAAAACTAGGGCTTTATAGAGCAAGAAAACACTGCACAAACTTAACTTTCTAGTGATGTTGTCCAACTTAACCATTAAAAATTTCCAAAACCAAAAGTCACAACGATAAGCTTTGAGAGTCATAGTCAATCATTTGCTTTACCATATGAGTAGTAACATAAATCAACTTTTTCCTTGTCAGAATACTAACTAACAAGAGGCTTTAGCATATCACAACATCAACGGATCCCATGAAGTATGAAACTGTGAGTAAGCCGTGGTTACATACCATATGCACTCTCAAGGTATACACAGAGGAGCAATTCGAAAGCTACAAGCAACGGTGTTGCAACAATAGCATGACATGGAGCCCACTGTACACCAAAAGATAACAATCATTACAAGCCAAAATATAACAAAATGCCATTTGAGAGTTAATTCTGGTTATTAATAGCTATCGATTTACTGGAAATCATAACATTAACTGTGAATAATAATAGAAGGGACATACATGACGGTTACGAGGAGCGATTGGAGCAGGCAGCGAGAATCTTCCCCTAGAAACAACAGCATGGAATGCCCACAGAGGTAGACACACAGCCCTTACATGAACAAATCAGCAGAAAAGATACATTTTGATATGTTCTAAACGATTGCAGAAACGCATGAATGCTATCAAACACCAAGAAATGGATAACTGACCAAACAAAACCAAGAATCACAGAAAGCTGAAAGAATCTGAAGCTCTAAATAGAAATTCCCTTCCCTATGACTCAATCTAGATGACATCATTTCCCATTGCAGCCCTCATACAATACACTAGATGTTTCTTGAAAAAAAAAACAAAACATATAACATCAACACGTGACACGATCTGACAGGTTTCCCTGTCATAGTACCTGATAAGGGTGTACTTCAAAATGTCTTGTACATACAAAAATCATACAGTTCCATAAAAGGAAAGATTTCTTCTAAAGTAGAAGTGATTGACGTGGGTTCCATTATTCAAAGGAGAATCGCTACAGGTGTGATTCAAGAGGCTCGGAATCTAAATTTTGAATCATCTCACAGAAATTCGTGTCGATAGTTAAACAAGACGCCACATGCGAGCAAAACATCGCACTTTCCAGAATACATAAAAACAGAAAGAAAATGGCCCAATTGTATTCGACAGAGCCAGAGCTGTGGATTCTGAAATTGAATGTGTAAATAAGTGTCTCTCTTTCTCAAAATAAAAATCGAAATCCAACGAATAAAGAATAGTTACGAATTATGCAAGCAAATTGAGTCTCAGAGAGTTTAAAGGAGAAGAGAGAAGTAAACTAACCACCAGGAGTAAGAGACGGTGTGGTCGAGCTTGAGCACCAAAGCAAGCGTGAAACAGAAGAGGAAGCTGTGAGCCGCCAAGGCTTGTACGGACTTGAACACTCTCCGACAGTTCATCGTCTTTCTCTCTCTACGGAAAAAGAATTTCTCGCTTTGCCTCCATTCTCTCTTGACGAATCTCTCCTTTTTCCTTTCTCTCTCTCTCTCTCTCTCTCACGAGTCACGAGTCACGAGTGACAATTGGTTAGAGAAGACGCCACTTGAGAAATGCAGCAATGTTTTCAATTGCGCAGTGCTTCTCCTTCCCTTTCCCCTCCTCTTGGGCTATTTCTTTTTTGTCAAATCTCTCTCTTTCTTTCACTGTCTTTTTCTTAGGATTAATTATTTTATTCGTAAACACTAAACACACAATACATATACAAAAGAGCTTCTATAATAGTATAGATTTTTTTTTTCTTTCTCTAAGTCAATTTCGAAAATACAAAAAGGAAATTTTATAAGGATAACATTTAGGAATATGGATATTACAGTTTTTGTTGAGAAAACTTTGAAATTTAAGAATTGGTCAACTCTAAAAGACTAAAATTGTAAGAATTCAAGAAAATCATGATGTCTTAACCAAAAAATAGATGTCATTTAAAAGTTGATGTAGTCTTCTGAAAAGTTTAGGATAAAGAATGCATTAGCATTGAAAAATAGATCCACGTCATATAATAATGATATACGTATTGATCTATTTATTTTGTGGAATTTAGTTGCAACTCAATTTTTTAATTTGTGTATTCAAATTTCAAACTCATTAAATATCTACATAATTGCCAGACAAAAGAAGCAAGAAAAATATCTAAAAATAACGTCAAATTAATGAAATTTCACACTACAAAAAAATTTGGGGTTCCTTTTTTTTCTTCAACTAGGTATTTAATCCGCGACTTGAGCGGGCCAAAATATTTTAAAAACAAAATAAATAAAAATTAATGCTATAAATTGAAAATAATTAAAACAACTATTTAAAACATAAAAAAATTAAAATAAAATTAACTAAAAAATAAACAAAATTCAAAATTAATTACTTAAAAAATACTTTATAACTGAATAGTCCACAAACTAATTTAAATAAGATAAATTCTAGTTTTTCGTTTTCTATTTTTTCCTCTTCATTATTTTTTTTCTTTCTTCTTCATCATTTTTTCCTTATTCTTCTTTTGTCCATATTTTTTCATGTTTTTCTTTTCATGTCTTATTCTTCATTTTTTTTTCTTCTTCCCATATTTCTTATTCAAATTTATCATTCACATCTTTTTTTTATTATTTAACACATTCGTCTTCTTCGTGTTCTTTTTTTTTTACGGTTTATTCTTCTTCTCCTTATGATTTTTTTCATATTACGACTCTTCATACTTTTTATGACTCTATATCTTTTGAGGTTGAGAAAAAAGATAAATACACATTTCAAACTTAAAACTCTCCTTAAAAGTGTGTTATATTTATTGTTAGATAAGAAAACTGCATTAACTTTTGTAGCTTGCTCCTTTAGAACAATCAAAACTGTTTCGGGGTAATCAACTTTAAAAAAGAGCTTAGACATATATACCAAAAAAAAGAAATTCTCAAAATTTCTTAATTATGCTAATAACAAAAATATCAAAAAATTAAAAAAATATCAAAATAAGAATTTATGTAAAAGGGAGTCTCCACAAAAGGGTTGTGACATTTTCACGGTCCCAAGATTTGCAGATTTTTGTATATAATTTATCATCGATTTATTTCACATTGTTGTGCTAGAATATTTATTTGTTACCATATTAAATAATTTTAAAAAATAAAGAAAATACAAAATTAGATGGAATTGAATCCTTCCAACATACAAACTTAAGAAAACTTAGAGTTTTAGCTACTTAAACATAAATTTTACATCTTTTGTGAAACTTAAGCAAGAGAAACTTTACTCTGATCCAAAAATAACATTTTATAATTAACAGTTCAAACTCAACTGGAAACACATGAGATGAAAGCACTCCACACGAAAAAGATTTCAGTCGGAGAAACGTGCAAAAGATCAAAGTACAAATAGTTACCTTTTTTCTCCTGTCTTTGCCCATAAGTAAAATAAAGGAACTAGAAACTAATATCAAAAAATATCCCAACACTGGACATAAAAGACAAAACACACACAAAGCCCATTCAAATAAAGTATTGTTCGAATAAAAAATAGTAATTTTGTTCATGTATCATCAATATTATCAATAGAACTAACTTTGAGAGTAAGAATATGCCAAGTGGACTAACATTTTTGGTGGAACTAAATTCCTTGTTAGCTTGTTTTCTTTTGTTCTCGGCAACGACAGGTGGGGTAAATACCACATACGACTGAATGGTACAATCTTCATTGATGATGCAGTCTTCTCTGATTGGTACAATCTCTTCAATCTATCAGTAATAGGTAAATATCACATACGATTGAATGGGATTTTTGTTCATCCCTCACTGGCTTTGTATCTTGGTTTTGCACAGAACTTGCAATGCTCTAACTTCTCATCTTCTTTCCAAAAGAGCATACAATTATCTATACATACATCAAATGAATGATACGGCAATCCTAACTTCCGCATCAAAGTTTCTGTCTCGTAGTACGAACCAGGTGCTTGATTACCCTCTGGTAAATACTCCGCAAACAATTCAGACCATGAGTCCATGTTGCTTTCAGCCATATTATGGTCAGCCTTAATGTTCATGAATCGAGCAGCCAAAGATAACTTTGATTGGCCTTCACGACAACCATCATAAAGTGTTTGCAGCATCTAACATGTCGTAAAACCGTTTTGTTTCTTGGGTAGGTTCTTCATGAACATGATCATATCCACTTTCATATTCATGATACTCATGATGATTAATTGGGATAGTACCATGAAATGCATCATTCACCATCCCAACATATCCATTCCCCCCATCAAATGTTGGTGGTTGATGATTATCACTAGTATAATCTACATTAGCATAATAACTACCCGATCCTCCCCCAAGCACATTATAATCTTCACCATGTTCAGATCATACATAATATTCTGACATAAATCATTTACTATGCAAATGCTTCGAAATTGTATTACCTGGTAAGAATTTATTATTTTCACATTTCAAACAAGGACAGTAAAATCTACCTCCACTACTTTGTGTGAGTGGCTGGATATTAGCAAAATTCATGAATTGTTCTACCCCTACCAAGAACTCACTTGATATATTATTTGTGTGTGGATCAATTCTGTTATACATCCATCCTCGTGACTGATTCTACATCGGTTTCTGATGAGACTTTTTTGTTTTTTTTTATTTGAATATTTTCTTGTCTCTTTTTGAAGACACAAATAATTTTTGTTTAATGGCAATGGAGAAAAAGACTTATATAGGTAAATTTAACTAAAAGATGGATTTTTCAAAACCCAATGGTATATTTTCCATTTGGAGTGTATCACTATTTATAGTACATGTTGAACTTGACCTTCATTCTTTTTTGTCGATGTGGGACAATTACCAATTCAACACACGTACTTTATTTACCGACTACTTTGCGACAAAACAGTGACAGTAGAAAAACGTTGCAAATAGTCGCACATTTGCGACAACTTTGCTACTATATTTCTCGACTAATTTAACAGTCGTTATGTAGTCTCACTTTGACACTAAGTAGTGAAAAGTTAGTCACGAAGTAGTCGTTAATTAGCGACTATGTACCGACGAATATCTTTGGTCGTTAATTACCGACTAATTTGTCTCTGCAGAAACAGTAGTCGCGTATTCGTCGCAACGTAGTTACAAATTAGTTGCAAATATTTGCGACCATAAATGTGGTCGCAAACTGTAGTCACAAAAACTGTGTTTTCTTGTAGTTTGGATAAAACACAGACCACCATATTCTGCACCTTGTTCACCGAAGCTTCTTTTGAACTGTTATAAATTTAGGATTCATCAGATCAAGTAATAATCCATAATCAGATGATTAAACCTGTGTTTTTATATGTGTTCTTTTAAAGTTTCATGTACCTTCCAAAAGTTCAATCAGCTTGGCAACCTTCACAAGAACCAGGTGAACTCACGTTCATTGCCATGAGGGATTTCGACACCGTATGTCCTATAGACCATTGTGAATCGTCACCAAGAGCCTACACCACAAAACATAATACATGATCTTTTTGTAATAATTTTTTAAAACATATAAAACGCTCATATCTGACTCCGAGAACTGGTTCGGTTCATGACCATAATCTTTGTCTTCATCACCAGCAAATGAAATCTGTTGCATCGCAAGATGAAACAATAAAACGCGAGCACCTAAGAAAGAAAAAACAAAAACAATCAAAACTTAAAACAGATAAGAATCAATAAATTAAAAAAAAAAAGGCTCGACTCAGCCCAAACTAATAAAAGAGAAAGAAAAGTGCACCAAAACTGGCTAATATATAAAACATAAATATGATAGATAATAAAAAATCACAAATCTAAACCTAAAGCACAAAAAAGAAAATAAAAAGTTACCCTTCGACATAGCAGTAAACTAAACAATCAACGATCAAGAAAGTCCGGCTAAAACACCACCTCTTAAACAGAAAAAAAAAAATCAAACGCTATTATTAATAAGAAAAATTTATAAAATATAAATATAATCCAACTTCTAATATACATCAGAACAAAATATATTCCTGAAAGAGCTATAAAAGGGAAGACACAAGGTATCACCTAATATATATAAAAGAATGTAGATCTACATGAGCCAACAGAAACAAATATAAAACAAAAATAACAACCGAATAGAAAATTAGAAAGCACAAAAACTATTTTTTTTAAGAAGTCACAAGATCATTAATGTGAAACACACGAAATATATAGCTTACATGATCGCCAAACATAACAACCGTGTAAGTGAAGAAAAAAAATTGGTTGAAAAATCTTTAAAATTTATGCAAATCGGATAATTCATATATTTTTTATATTAAAAAACAATATCTAAGTATTTATCAAGACTTACTTAAAGATTAAGGGAGTAACATAACTAGATATGATGATTTTTCATTTTTTAATATTTTTTTATAATTCATATAATTATTTTTTTTTTAAAAACAATATCTAAGTATTTATTAAGTAAGATTTACTTAAAAATTTATGGAGTAACATAATTATATATTATAATTTTCGATTTTTAATATTTTTTATAAAAGTTAATATAAATAAATTTATATTTTTTTATTTTTGTTTTAAAAAATCGTGATTTTAGTTGTAAAATCGTGATTTTTGATTTGATAAAATCGTAGATTTTGATCAGATTGAGATAAAATCATGTATTTTTATTTGATTTAATATTATTACAA